TTATTGGAATGCATATCAAATTTCAAATAACAATTTAATTTTTCAAAAATTTAATTTTTTAAGTTTCTAGAATAAATTTAGTGGAAGAGATTGATAGTATAGAGAGAGAGAGATAGATAGAGAGAGAGATTTCAAATGGCCTCATTGTATGAACCCTATTTTTAAATTAATGTTTTTTAAAATTTATGTTAAAGACCACCATGTTATAAAAATAAATAATATAATTAAACCATTTATTCCTGGATAAAAAATAAAATGGGATGAAATATCCTACATCCAAAAAAAAGACTATTGAATGGTATTTAATGTCCAACGGTCCAATAATGTGTGCCCATGCTCTATCTTTTAATTAAACCTTTGAATGATGAAATGTCCAAATCTTAGGTAAAAAATATAATTTGACCATTGAATAAGATGAAATATCCTATATCTAAAAAATAACATAAGTTTGATGTGAATAAAAGCCTCTTCAATACCACCTTTAAATATGCAGGAGCATGAACACGTGACACTAGAGGTTATTGAAAAGAGCATGGGCACATGGCCCTAGAGGGATTTATTTACAAAAATTATAAAAATACCCTCAACACTTCAAAACAAGTTATTGGAAAGAGCATGGCCCTGGAGGGATTTATTTACAAAAAAAAAAAAAAGAAGTAAAAAAACTACAAAAATACCCTCTACACTTCAAAAAAAGTGTTATGAAATCTTAAATTACAAAAATACCCTCTACACTTAAAAAAAAAGTGTTACGAAATCTTTTAAAAAAATGTCACGGAAGGGTAAATGATTTATTTATAAAAATACCCCTATAGTTCAAAAAAAGTGTTATGAAATCTTTTAAAAAAATGTCATAGCAGGCTGAGTGATTGCCCCCATTTTCAACAAAAATTATAAAAATACCCTTTACACTTTAAAAAAAGTATTATGAAATCTTAAAAAAATAATAATAATAAGGTGAGTGATTGCTCTCATTTTCAACAAAAATTACAAAAATACCCTCTACACTTTAGAAAAAGTGCTATGAAATGTTTTAAAAAAATATCATAAAAAAAAAGTGTTATGAAATCTTTTAAAAAAATATCATAAAAAAAAGTGTTATGAAATCTTTTAAAAAAATATAATAATAGGGTGAGTTGTAATGTCATAATCAATAGGCAAGGTGAATTGTGATGTCATAATTAATAGACTCGGTGAGTTGTGAAATCATGTTGCCGATTTATTTATAAAAATACCCTCCACAATTTAAAATGAAGTCTTTTAAGGTTGAAAGGGGTACACGTGATTGCCTCATTTTTAATAAAAATTACAAAAATACCCTCTACACTTTAAAAAAAAGTATTACAAAATCCTTTTAAAAAAATGTCATGACGGGATGAATTTTGATGTCATAATGAACAGAATCGGTGAGTTATGACATCATGTTACCGATTTATTGTGCAAACATGGCCGGATCCCATTTTATAGCTGGATCCAAAACGGCCCAATCGATACCCGATTCAAATCGATCGAATCAGATCGACGTTTTTTTGAACACTGCTCTTATCTATAAAAAGTAATACCATAATTAAATTAGAAACTTTTAAGTATGTTAAATTACTAAAATACCCCCACTTATACCATAAAAAATAATACCATCATTAAGTTAAAAACTTTTAAGTATATCAAAATTACTAAAATACCTCCACTTAAAAAAGGCAATTTGAGTATTTATGAGGTATTTTTCGAAGAGATACTTGGATTAATGATATAATAATCAATAGACTCGGTGAATTATAACATCACAATCAACAGACTCGATAAGACGCAGTAAGTTGTGACATCATAATCAACAGACTCGGTGAGTTGTGACATCATATTACCGATTTACTGTGCAGACACAATCAAATCCCGTTTTATGACTGGATCCAGAATGGCCCAGCCAATACCCGATCCCGATCGCCCAGATTGGATCGGTTTTTTTTTTAACACTGCTCTAAACTATAAAAAATATTACTATCATTAGGTTAGGAACTTTTAAATAGGTCAAATTATTAAAATGCCCCTACTTATTCAAGATTGAAGAAAGGCAATTTTGAGTATTTGTGAAGTATTTTTCGATGAGGTACTTGGGTGAAAAAAATAAAAAAAAATGCTAATTCAGATGCATTCACACCCTTGATGATTTTGAAGGAAGTCATGACCCCTTAATGATATTTTCCCTTTTGTCCAAGATGAAATGCAAAGTTTGCGATTCAACATACTCTCGAGCACAAAGTCGCTTATGCTAGTCGGCTTATATAAAATGCTCCTATTTTTCTTGAACATTATATTCATCGGCTGAAAAACAATAAAAGGGAAAATTGGGATCGATCCCTTTTCTCCAACAAAAAGGAGAGATTTCTCCTAATTTATCTGAGAACTTGGTCTACATTTCAATCGGTAAAAAGAATTCAACCTTTTGTGTCAAATGCCATGTCAAAATGTCCCATAAAGCACAGGCTTGGGAGCATGGGGCAAAAACAGAAAAACCAGCAGATAATGCTTCCACTGCTCTTCACTTCAAAGTCTCAAATGACACTAATGTGTGGAGATTACATTATTGAAAAACCAGGGATCACATGAGAAAATCTCCAAAATAAAATTAGAAGAAGAGCAGGAAGAGACCAAATAAAAATCTAAGAAAGTTTATTCCAACTAACTTCTTCTATTCAGTGTGTGGTATAGACTCCCCAGATTCTGCTGTCAACACCTTATATACATTTTGTATCCTTCTAGTCACTGGCCCCACTTTTCCATCACCGATAACTCGACCATCTATCATGACAACCTGCATTGATAAATTTGATAAATCACGAGCATGCGGCATGCACAACAGAGAGAGAGAGAGAGAGAGAGAGAGGATCAATCATGACAATCTGAATTAATAAGCTACTATAAATCAGTGTTTAAAAAATTGCTGACTCAGGTTGGGCAAAGATCAATCATGACAATCCGAACTGATATGTTACTATAAATCAGTGTTCAAAAATTGCTCAGGCTTGGACTAACCCACACCACATGGACCCGGCAGGGTGCAGGATCTGGATGACTAACCCTAATAACTGGGCGAGTCTGACCTAAGTAAAAAAAATTTTCAAGTATCTTCTAATTGAGATTTGGCCGAGTAAGTCTCTGAAATGGGCTCGGGACATTTCCGAGTGAGAGCCCAAACCTGGGTTTTTTAACCACTGCTTTAAATTACAACACTTGTTTGTGTGACTGTGAGAGAGAGACAAAGAATCGATTGGGACACCCAAGTTAAGTTGTACACATGTCCGTTTGTAAGAGAGAGAGAGAGAGAGAGAGAGAGAGGAGGAGGGAGGACAACAACGAACGAAGAGGAGTAGTACGACTAAGTAGACAACTAAACAAACGTAACGTAACCGTAAACGAACGGTAACGTAAGTAACTTACGTCGTACGTTAACGTTAAACTTAAAAGT